AATGCCTCTGAAGCAAGGTAGCCCACTGTTTGGCAGGCCTTTTAGCCTGTGACAAGCACAGGTTTAACAGACATGACCTTTAGTTTGCCTATTCCTTCTAAAAACACTTCTAATGCTGCTTTTTTTGGGTGTTGCAAATAAATAGTTGTAGCTTGCACTTTCTTCAGGCCTCGTTTGCAAGGTAACCAATTTGCAATATGGCCAGTTTGAAAGTCCCTCCTTGAGTAACGAGTCAACATTAGGCAAGTTCATGACAAATCTCAGTGACAGGGCATGGGACAGCTTAGTAAGTGCCAGTACCCCACACATTCTCCAGCACATGGCTCTGTAAAAGCTGCACAGGCCAGTATGAGAGTTCTTATCGCAGAGACAGAAGACAAAGGAGCATCTCTGAAAGCAGATGACAACCATGAGAGTTCTCAGGTCGGGGAAGACAAGGAGGAACCTCTGCATCAGTAATTCTGAGAGAGTGTGCTTGGTGCATTCTGTGACAAATTCAATAACCACTCTTGCAACACATGTAAGAAGAATCACAGCACTCACTTAACTGCCGAAGACCTTCCCTGTCACAAGCATGAAATAATACTAGGCCAATGATTTAATTCCTTAAATTTTTCTTGAATTTCTTTAATTCTAACTTAATTAAGTAACTTTCATAATTTTCTTAATTTTTCTTTTTTTTTTTTTTGTGTCAGCTCTTATGACCAATTCAGGTGTCTTCTAAATTAACTTCTAGATTGATTCAAAAACACTGCTTAAGCTCCCTAAGTAATTCTTCCACCTTAATACTGTCTGTTTTTTCTTCTTAGCTCTAGAATACATTTATGTGTTGCCTACACAAGTGTAACAGATAAGAGATTCTTTCCCTCATCTCTCCCATTTCCTCTTAGGAGGTGTCTGTAAAAACTTTTTCCTGCTAACAGACTTATTATCCTCTACTTATTGTTGCTTCAACTGTTCCACACTAAATATTGAGCCATAATAAAGAAGGGGGTTTTGGCATTACTAATTTGAACCAGAGAAGTCTTTAAGTGAAAAGAATGCTTCCTGTCCAAGTAGGTGAATCTGATGGTTACCTGGGAAGATGAAACAGTTTCAATTGCACTTGTAAAGTCTGGCTGTGATTTTGTAGCATGAGGAACTTAAAACTCTACAGAGTTCCCTACTCCCGGATTGCAACCCCAGTTGTTAGAAGGTTAAGTGGAATCCAGGAACTCTGCTGAAGAACAGCATCATCTCAAGCAAATGCAACATAACTCCCCAAGTCCTTTCTCAGAATTTTAGCTCTCAAAACAGATGATTAGTAGTTTCTCAAGTTTTTGCTCCATTAGTCCAGCTAAGGCTATCTAGCATACCAGTTCTAGGAGAAAAGAAGTGATTTTACTATCCACTCTCACAGCCAGCACATAACAACTGGTGGTACACCTAGTAAACTTTTGGATGGAGCTGATCACCCAGCTTCTTCCAGAGGCATCCAAGAGCCACTCATTCCAACTTCTTTCCTGTCCCATCATGTGACAAACGTAACATGGACTTAGTCACATAACGTACTTAGTTTAGTTTACCTACCAGAACATGCACGTGCCACACAAAGAAGAAGCTACAAGACTCTTGGAAATTTATCTGTAGGGAACAGTCTGGAACTACCCTGGTGCAACAGATGCAACTCACCCAGGGTAAATTAACGTCCTCTAGACCAAACCATTTAAGGTACATGGCAAGTACCAATCACACAGTCTCTCTGCTGCAGAGATTTAGTTTTAGCACTTGCAATTTCTTCTGCATAGGCCAGAAAATACTAAACGCAGCACTCCTATATCCCTGATTTTGTTAGCTCTGGTTTGCTAAATTATTGCTTTCCATATATTGCACATCTAAAAGAATTTATGTAAAGCAATAGATAACTTACTAGTTTCTGGTGGCTTGCTGGATAGTGCTGAGAAAGTGAGATACATGACATAGCAGCTGATAACTCCAGATTGCAGCAAACCAGAATGGGGCTGGCCTTTGCAAGAAAGAATAAAATAAGTAAGTTTTTGCAGATACTTTAACAAACTGAAAAAGAATTTTGTAGTCTTTAAAGAACAGCACACTAATATCCTTCAGAAGAGAAGAGCATCTTTTATGTTTTACTTAAAGCAGTCCGTAAGTCTTTGAGGCAGTTTAGATGCATTTCCACTGGCAAGTAAAGAGAAAAGCGTCTGTCCTTTAGTTCTGCAGGCTGTTGTAGAAAGGCATTAAAGATTCCCACATAAGTAATGAATCACCCCTCTGCTCTCGCCAAAGGCACCAGCTTTCCCAAAGCTACTGACAAGCTGCCATGATAGTTTTATTTTCCCATAAAATTTGTGCTGGAGTCACTCAAATAACTATTTTCAGGCCCAACATAAGCAAGATACTACCAGCACACATAAAATATACCAATGTATCAAAATACTGCTGTCAACTCCTCGAGGCCCAAACTTTACAGATGGTAAATCAGAAGGAGTCAAAAGTAAGCGGTAAACCAGTGGTGAATGAGTTTGACAGCTATTTACCTAAACTGCTACCATTGCAAGAGTTGTGTAAGCTCCACAACACATAACCAGCCATCAGCACATGAGCCTTCTTCACAGTGTGACTGCCTGAGGGCACACCCAAAATGTCTCACACCCCTGCCGTTTTAGCAGCTGAGCTCATGACCAGCAACAGCACTTCACAGAGTGGAAAAAGGGACTGGGGCAAGAGCAGCACCAGCTCTGAACTGTCATGAGACCTTCTGCCCAGAACATGGCTCATGCCTCCAGGCATACAACTGCAGCAGCACCAGAAGCCCAGGAGGAGAAGAGGTCAGTGGACTCACGATTCTGGACACAGGGTGATATGGCCACCAGAGACACAAAGAGGCACAGGCCACCGTTAACACCGATCAGAACCTTGTTGTACGTGCAGCCCTCCGAGCGTGTGTAGAAGAGAGCCATGAGGACCAGGGCTGCCACGGCAATGGAGTACAAGATGAGAGTGACCAAGGCAAGCAAACCATTCCACATCTGCTTGTGGTTTGCACCTGCAGTCCTGGGGAGAGAGAGAGAGAGAAGCATTTTATCTTTGTCTTCCCTCCCTCAAAAAATAAGGTTCTAGTAGCTGAACAGTTCATCTCTTCAGACATGAAAAGACAGTGCATAATTTCCTGAAGAATGTGTATGTCACTACACCAACACAGGACCCTGCAAGGTTCCTCCCATGAAACAGAGATAAACATTCATCACCATTAGTGTTTATCTTCTGTATTACCATGCCCAGCTGTTTCTGTAATTATAGCCCAGCATGACACCTACAACTCCCAGCCTCTGGGATCAGCCCATCAGTGCATCTCAGCTCAATATGGAATTCAGCATACCCCAGACTCAGCTAGCAAGCAGTGCTCTTCACACAAGGACAGCAAAGGCATATTGCTGGGTGCTGCTTCTCTTCCACCCCTTGCATTAATTGGACAGTTCTACTACCCTTTTGCTCAAAAAGCCTCCTCTTCATTTGGGTCTGTCCCACTAGCCTCCCTCAGCTAAAGTGTGGTCTATCTTGTTTTCCTCTCTCTACCTTCCCTCTCACAGAAATCTACCCTCTTGCAGAAATCACTGGGTTTTTAGGAATAGCAACTACAAAAAGCTGTTTTGGCACAAAAGGCTTTTTGGTGCATGGAAGGTTTTTTTGGGGTTTTATTGTTGTTTTGTGGAAATATGACTTATTTGAAAAGAATATGTAGCACAGAGAGTGCTGAAGTTAAATGCTGTTGTTGGAAATCTTTCATCCACAAAAAAGCAGTAAAAATACCTGTGATATAAGATCTCACCTCTTCCTCCATAAAAGCAGGTAGCTAACAAAGCCCAAATGTTTACTAAAACTCCTTCTTAGCAATCAGCTAAGAACTAGAACAGAAAAAGAACACAAAGGTTTCTAGAGGAAGAAATGAGAGAGAAAAAGTGGCAGCAGGAGCCCCTGTGCATATGTGGGAGGACAATTTAGATATTTTAAACTGATCAGAGGCTAGTGTCTAGAAAGGTAACAGCAAATATGCTTAAACCAGAAATTAAGTCAATGCCAAAATAGGGTGTATGTGGCTTGATAATGGAATCTTGCACATTCAGATGAAAGCAAATAAGCTGAAGAGAAAGTAGCAGTTTTCATGCCAAAGAAAAAAAAAATGTTGTGCATTAAGCCGACACAAAAAAAGGGAGGATTTAATAGTACAGTTTCACTGCTACATTTTGCAAATCCAGTTTTATTGTCTTGCAACACTCTGTTTCTTAGCAGGTATATTTTCACATAAAATATAAAACAACTTCAAGTAAGAGGGTTTTGCACCCCAACAAATCCCTACTACTTATTGGAAGCCGAGCAATTCAGGTTAAGAACGAATCAGCAGAGCAGAAGTGAATAAGGAGGAATCATCTCTGCTAGGGAAGGAGAAAGTAAATGAAGCAAAGATGAACAGTTCTAAGCATTGACATTAAAATGTCTATTGTCAGAAGTTACATCTATGCTACTTTTAAAATTTTTTAAATGAGAAATGTATTGTTCAAGAGTCCACCAGAATTTTATGCAAATAACTACCTGTCAAACACATACCAATTTTTATTCCATTTGTGTGCGAACTCAACAAGCAGGATGAGTTGAATGGCAATGAAAAGGAAACCTCCTGTTGCTCCTACATAGCGCCAGGCTGCAAGGCAGAGAGGCAGAAAATAGGTCAAACTGCAGTCGCCTTTCCCTCGAGATAAAATGGAATTACTGTCTCTGCAGTGAAGCTGCTATGCAGTGTGAATATCTCAAGCCCACCTATGTAGCAGATGATGAGAGATTTCAGCTGACAGGCCAGCTCAGCTAACTCAAGATTAGCTCCCTGACAAATTCAGCCTGCAACCTGCTGCACTTTCAAAATATGCCTGTTAGGACATTTGTTGAGTTTCCCTCACCTGAAGAATTTTTGTGGAGACTACAAGTTGCTATATCCAGACAAGGAAATACTGAATCCTTTATTTGTCACTGGTGGAAGGGAGGTGGTGTGAAGGCATTTCACAGGAATCTAAACCCTGAAATTGCAAAGTACTGAAACCCAGTACTAAAAAGGGCAATTTCTTCCCTTCCAGATTCCAATACCACAGAAAAGTAAAGGTGGAGCTTATCTATTTACAGACACTGTCCCGAGCCACTCCCAAACAGACAGGAACACTTGGTATTCACTGACTAGTTTTAAGCCAGGTTATTTGGCTACTTAACCATTGACCTACATAGACTGTATTTGGGTAGCTGTTTTGATACTTGCGACAACAGATCTCTTATGTACAGCACCAGAAGTCTCTGAGGAAATACAGATACCTGTTTAAATGGGGAGCTGCACGTACAGCTCGTGCTGCTGTGCAGTGTATAGCCTATAAATTACTCCAGGTGGGCAGCTGATTTCAGCGAAGACCACCAAGGCAGTGCATTAGCCAAGTTCAGAGATACGCTGCCATTGTGGTTTCCTTTTGAAATTTTCATGTAAGTGGAAGAACAGAACAGAAGAGTTAGGGCACATTACCCTTAGCAGATGATGTAGAGATTTTTATTTTTGACTGTAACATAAGCTTTTTATCTGGAAACAAATAAAAATGCCATTTGTCTGCATTTGCTAAATGTATTGTATGCAGCTGATAATCATGCTGTTTGTTAAACGACGCAAAAAAACAGAAGAAAGTGGCACGTAAGATGTACATAAAAAACTGGGAACAAGTTGTGCGCGTGAGTATTAAATAGCCAGATCCTCAGGATCTCCCACTGCCACAGTCAAGACACTGCAGGATGTTTTACAGATCCGTCATAGATCAGGTTGGTATGGCCACTGTGGATTTAACACCACAGCCCCCACAAACCTAGTACTTTCATATAATAAGTCTTCCTCCACAATTAAAAAACTGCTAAACATGGGAAGCGTGACAAGAGCTACTTTTTTTTTAAAAGAAAAACTAAGCAAACTAAGAGAGTGCTAAAAAAAAAAAAAAAAAGACAAAAAAAGACAGCGTAGGTTTCCTGATGGGAGAGAAAAAAGGGGAAAATAAAACTACACAATACACCAAACATCTATAAATCTCAACTTCGGTGGCTGACTGAAGGACAGATCTGCAGAATGAGCAGCATCCAGCCTTAGAGAAAGTCAAGAGCTAATCTAGGGAAGGTTATGATGTATCTCCACACTACATTAGGCTGCTGTTGAGAAACAGCACTCTTATTAGCACAAAAAGTTCTGTTTCCCCTTTTCCCCAAACACTTCAGTTCTTGATAACTTCTCACCATGAAAAGGGTCACTTGCTCAGATGACAGACTGTCTTGCTTGCTTGGGAGTACAATGCATTGCACCATTACATCTCAGTAATCCAAACGGGGATGAGATACTAAGGACAAGCAAATACAACCATGCTGCTGACTTTGCAGAGGAGATGAATACAAATAAGGAGCCCCCTACTTCTGTGGCATTAAACTGAACTAAGACTGAACAAGTGGCTGGTAAGAGCAAGAAGCTGAATTACACCTATCAGTGTTTTTTACCTTAGCTTCCCAGAGCACTGTGTTTACAGTACATCTGCCCACTCTATTCTCTTGCCCCGTGCTACTCCTTCCTCTAACCCTTTTAAACATCCTGGCTAGAGGAGATTGGTGTTGAAAACACAGGTAACCAAGCAAGCCTCAGTGGAAGCAGGCAGCAGACACAACTGCTCCTTTGCATTACTGATCCCATATCCCTTCCCACCTGCCCACGTCTCAACAACTTAAGGTCTTACAAGTACCTGGCAAACTGAAGAGCACAAACTCATCTTGGTATTACCAGGACTTTTGCTCCCAGCACACAAAAGGCCTGTGAGAAGCCTCACCAGAGCTGTCATTTAAGCACTGAGACAGCACCAGCATGCTTGTGCAGTGCCAGGGCATCCTCCAACACTGGAGATGCTTCAGGGATGGCATCCTCAGCAGAGTACTCACAACAAGCCCAAGAAGTCTAATTTTACCTTACTGCACTCACACCACCAGTCCGAAAGCTAACAATATCTCAAATTCTTCTGTGGCACTGCAGGTTTCCAGGCAAGCACCCGCCCCGGGCAGGCCACCGTGGCTCCTTAAGCACATGCACGCTTGGACCGCGCGCACGGACCGGGGCTGCTGCGCTGCGCGGAGGTATCCGCACCAGCAAACCGACACGTGGCTCTGCGCTCCCCAGGGGACTACTTCTGGTGCACCCTCACAGCTCCCTGCTTCTAAAAGAATTTGCCAGACAGCACCACAGTGGTATTTTTACCTACCCGTTTTGCCTGCTCTTAGAAAAAAACATGCTCTCTACTGCACATTCCCATGAAGACCACATACTCTGTGCCCAGCAAGTTCCCCCCAGACAGCTCCAAACACACCTTTTGCACTAGACTATATTGGTTTTATTTGCAGAAATATGGCAATAATCATGTTGATCACATCTTGAGGACTTATAACTACTCACATGACAGGACAGAACAAAGCCGCGTAACAAAACAAGTGGAACATACCATTGAGGAAAGTGTCCTGATCAGGAATGAAGAAGGCTCCTGAGCACATTGCTGCCAGAAGGATAAGTTTAATGAGCCAGAATCTAGGCAAGAGGGAGGAAAAAATAAAATCAGATGGTTTTAATAGAAATTACAGGTCTTCAATTCAAGCACCATGAGGAGCCTCTAATAAAGCCTAACAAGAGAAAAAACAGCCTTCGGTGACCAGATGCCACTTTAGTTTCACTTGGCTGCATTATTTCTGACAGAAACAGTAAAATTAACTTTCGAGTTGGTTTGGTTTTTTACCTAGTATTACACCCAACTGGAAAGCAAATGGCACAGACCTGTAAAGCAGAAACAAAGCAAACAAATACTCACCCGTTATGAATGTATGCTCGGCAGCTTTTGCTGCTGTTAATTTTGATGGTGAACAAGAAGAACAAAAAGAAGAAACAAGCCATTCCAAAACAGACTTTGTACACCGCAGAGTATCCCACCAACTTCTCACACATCTCACCCGCCTGAATACCCTTGCACATCTGCTTGTAGAAGGGAATCTGGAAAGCACAACATGTTACAAGCTGTTAGATAGGACACAGGGCTCCACGTAACCAAGCATGTCCACATTTAAGTTAACAGAAAGTCGGTGGTGCATAATTTAAGAACTTTCAGTCTTGATACCCCTCAGCCTGGATTTAAGGGTTCAAAAGGCATTAAGGAATGTGAAGCAATTTAATGAAAGTTTTCTCGATCTTCTACTCTCAACTCCTTCCAGATGCTTTCGGGTACAATTCCACCTGCCTTTCCTTCAGCTCCATCAGTTTAAGCCATCCCTGAACCTTGCTGCTTATCCCCACACCCCAAGGACCCTCTCCCTTCTTCCTATGCTTTACAGCAAAAGACTTTGACTGTTTCAGCCATCCCACTTACATGAGCCATACCAGTGGTTTTACTAGCCAAAGGGGCATGAGTGGGTCCACAAGGCAGGGTGCTGTGGCTTATGGTGCCTTCCAAGGCAGACCAAAGCACACCCTGGGAGCACAGGGGCAGCAAGCCCCCTCCTCTCCACAACAGCCTCAGAAAGGGAGTTGTGCCAATTGCCCTAATTACGTTTTAAATCAACAGAGAGGCAGGAAAATTCCACCTTTCCCTTGACTCATTAAATATTTGCCTTTAAGGCCTTGCTCTCACCGCAAGGGGAAAGCAAACAGCTGCACATTTTGACTTCAGTTTCAGCAGGCAGACATGATGCTGGGCACTCCAAAAAGCAGGTCTGTGTGGCCAGGGCCCGCTCCTGTGGGATGCTGCTGAGCCGACAGCTCCCTCGCAGCTAGGGAGCCATTCAGCTGAGCAGAAATACAGGCATTTAATTAGAAAACCGCCGTTCCTTTCAAAGCAAGAAGGGCTTCTCTGTGTGCACACAGCTCTCCGCTGAGACTGGTGAGAGCAGCTGAGCGACAGAGCAAACCCTCTGGAGCTAGCCACTGCTCCCTGCACAGGTAACTGGAGCAGAGAGGAGACAGCGTGTGCCAGGATACAACGTGCACAAACAAATAACTCGGGCATAGCAAATGGGAATCAGATTTCAGAAAGCATTCAGCCAGGCCAGATTTTGCTTAGGAAAAATACACAAAGAGTGTAGGCAACACAATCCTTGAACATTTGCAAGAAATTAGCAAAGATAGGAGTCTCTCCTTTCTTCAGCAAGCAGGTCCAGCACACAAAATCAGGACAGGGAAAGAACAAACAGGACCCAAGAGCAAGCAATCAGGTAGTGCTCCCAGCTGGGTAGAAAGCCATCTGAGATGCAGGTAATAAGGGATCACAGGCAAACTGCTGGCTTCCAGCCACCAGGCTCTGAAGGCCTGTTTCCCTCAGCAGGGTATGCAACTTCCCATCCCATGCCAGCAACCCAAACCAGTCAGGATCTTAACAACCCCCCCAGCAGTTTCCCCAAAAGAGCAAATATTTTAGCAGCTCACAGCAACTGCGTTACTGTCCTACAGGTAGCAAACCTAACTACAGTACCGAGCTGCTAGGAAGGAAGAAGTGTGTAGGTGGGCTAGAAGCAGACAAGGAAATGAAAAGGTCTCAATGCAGTTGCACGGTGTTAGAAAAATGGACTCAAGCTGGGCAACTTCGAGCTGCTCCTTCAGAATTAACTCAGACATGAGTAGGCCCTGCATAAGAAGCTAGACAGTAAACAAGCAGCTGAGGCTAACTCACACCCAAGACATTTTAGAGAGCTCTTAAGGAACTGTCGAAGCATCAGCAATCCCTTCCCTAGGTCTTAACAGTTAATGGAAGGTCAGACTGGGCAAATGTGCTAGCATTTGAATCACACAAATGGACAGAGTGCAGTAATTTAAGAGAACTATCAATGCCACAGTGATGCCAGGGCAAGCCAAGGGGCGGCAGCAATGTCCAGGAAAGAAAATGGGCTATCAACTAATGCTTTCCAGTCTCTGCTCATAGTAGCCATGAGTCAGAAGAGATTAAAAAGATGTATAATGCTGAACTAACAATATTTTTGAGCAAGAAAGATATTCGTTGGCTATAGATGACAAGTACTGACCAAGGAGACAGATTTCTGTACAATCTGTACTTAGTACCAAGCAGCATTTTGCTTATGAGACTTATAGAAAAAAAAAAATGTACCATGGAACTTGATTAATTGACTATCTAATTAATAATAGATCTCTGGAGCATCTTCTTTAATTGCATAGGTTTCTACAGAGATCTTGATGGGATTTTTGACCCTGTATGTTATTTTCTCCATTTAATAGTAATTTCCTTTCAGATCTGGCTGAGAGACGATGGATGGATTCACAAAAACAATAGCTCAGTTTATGCCTACACAAGCAATAAAGAGCTCAGCCCTCATGTAGTATGCACAATACAGCAGTAAGTGATGGCCACAGAACAGCCCTGGGGGACTGAACGCTCTTTTCAAGATTCATGATCCTGAAGGAACAAAACAAGAATAAAACCAAACTCTTGGGGACCTCGGCAGATAATAAACACATGCACAATGCTGGGGACAACAGGACTGATGTAATGAAAAAGGCATGTTTTTGTGAGAGAATAGTCTGCTGCTGGGAACAACTTATCACACCTTATGTGACTTCTTCACTGAAAGTCAAAAATGACTACTTTTTAAAAAACATTCTGTATCTCTGAAACATGTTTAGCTGCTGAGCAACTTGCCCAGCCTATGTGTTTTCCAAGGATTTCCATGTGCTGGGTAGTTTTGCCAGCTGTTAGTCACGGATTAGTTATTTGCCAGGTCCGAGATAGTGAAATACCTACTTTTATACCTTTAAAAGCAACATAAGGAATTATAAATAAATTTGGCCTTTACTATAAATTCTTTCACTGCTGAGGAGGCGACAAAGCAAGCCAACGTGGCCACACCATGTGCAGACTACAGTCATCTGGGGCTCTGCCACCTCAGAGCTTGGTCTGTCTGCACCCAAACATGTGAATGCAAGGGCACAGGGAACAGCATCACAGGGGGAATAAGAAGGAAGAAGTGTGTAGAAACGCGCATAAAGAACCCAAGCCATCTTACATATACAACTGAATTCTTATCAGAAACAGGCAATAGGCATTTGCACTTAAAGCTCATTTTGGTAGCAAATCAGGGGTTTAATATAATGCAGCGAAGGGCCAAGATAGAAACCTGGCCAGGGAAACAAGCCTGAAAGCATGCCCTGCCAGAATATGGAACCATCTAGAACCGAAATGCTCTGACACAACTGAACTGGTTTTTACTGGTGTTTGTTGTCCTGAAAACATCTTTCTCGGTTCTCCTTTCATTATTAAGCAGGACATGGATATTTTCAGGGTGAAACCACAAGTTTTGAAACAGCTTTAACATGAAAAATTTAATTTAAAAAATTAATAAAAACACTATTTTGACAGACTGAAATAATTCTCTGTTTTCTTCCATTATCATCTCAAGGCCTAAGAAATGCAAGGTTTTGCTTCAACAGAACATTTGTGAGCAAAGCTGTATTTGTTTTCAAACAAATCAGAATAACTGGAAGAAATATATAATACATGGATCAAGGCACAGAAGCACTTTTTCAAGCTGGGTCCTGCTTTCTTCATTTTGGAACATAGTCAAGTCTCCAAACCATTTTGTGTAACTGCATATTGCTCTTTTCTGTCTTTATGTCCCTATCCTCGAGGCTTTCATGTCTTGACTGGGGCTCTATGTCACCCTTTGCCTGGATACACAACCATGCCTCTCTGAAATCTATTCTACACAGCAGGATTCAAAATATTTTCCCCATCAAAACCACCCACTTCTTCCCTACTCCTCCATTGTCTCTTGCTTATTCTCCAGAGATCAAACATAAAAGCACTGGCATCTTTGCACATTTTTCAGAATTTAGCACTCCGGGTCTCTCTCTCCGTTGGTGTCCCATCGGCACAGGAACAGCTCAGGAGAATGGGGAAGAATGAAAACAATGGAGAAAAAACTCCCCAGAGAAAAAATTCCCCACAAAGACACTGTTCAATTCTTAAGGCTCACCATAAAATACAATGTCCTTGAAATGCTGCTAGTTAAACGAGGAACCAAAGTTTTCAAACCGCAACCAAATACTCAACAGGTACCACGTCCTTCCACAGACGTGGTTTCGTCTACCTGCCAGCTTTGGTGGGGATGTGGAAGATGAGACCCCTGAGATAATGCCCCATTTTTCCAGCCATGTTGCAAGGCACAGAGCAGGTCCCCAGCTCTAAGTTAGTAATGGCAGAGTCTGGCACCTTGGGAACTAAAAAACTGTCCTAAACCTGTTTCAACTGGCAGAATACATGTCTGTGGGGGTAAATAAATATTGCAAAACAAATACAAACATTTTAAAAAATTTTCTAGGGTGTCCATAAGAGACTTAACATTTGCTGTTGCTTTCTCTCAAATAATGCCCAAGGACAAAGTGCTACAATAAAATACTTTAGAACTACTTGGGAGCTTGTAGAGCTTGTAGGCAGTCCATAAAAAAACCTCTCACTGACAGGTCAGCCTCCTTTCATGTAACATCAGCATGAGTATTTGAACCCTAAACCGGTAAAGGAGACAGAGGGTTCCCAGCCAAGATGATGGCCCCACAGAGGTCTGTACTAAAACTTTAATTTCCCTCTTTTTTTTAAGTTTTAATACAAAACTTGAAAAAAATCTAATGAAAATTAATTAAAATTCTTTCTCCTCCCCAGGGATAGGGTGAGGTCCTAGAAGCATTGCTCAAAGTGCTTGTGTATAGTCTTGCTTCAAGAGCTAGGAGGCCTCTGTGATTGAACCAAAAGTGAAGGAATCACTAAGTGCCCAGCACTTTCAAAAGACCGTTCATGTTGGGAAGCTGAGACTGGTTAGTCTAAATAAATATTTTCAAGGTGCACTCTCTTACAACTGGGCTGAATTAGCTTCAGTAGTCTTTGAAATTTTAACAGCCCCAAACATAATTATTAAATTAGAGAGTGGATAAAGAAAGCCTACTTTCAGATGGTCCATTTCCCATTCAAAGACACCAAATGCTCTAAATTAAGAGGGTGATTATCTTTCCACTTCACACTAACAGCTACTCTTTGTGCCATTTCTTCCCACACTGAGCTTTCAAGACTATGAACTGGAAAAGAAATTTGGCAATTCTGAAAAACAAGTTGTTGAAGGCTTCTTGAATCACTTTTCTGTTGGATAAAGAGCGTGTATTTTTTGTTAGGGATACAAGCTGCATTAAAACCACACTACTGATGGAAAACAACTTTATGAAATTTGGATATGAGCACATAATTTGTCTCCCACACACTTGAGTTCCTTGGGTTATTCACTTTTTTGCCAGGCTAAGCATCTAGTAAGTCAAAGTAATTCCTGGCGAGAGATTTCAGCATGCACGTGCTGAAGAGTTTCTAAGTTGTAGCTCACAGGCAAGTACCATGTCTGTACTGGGTGCTCTCACAGGGCTGTCAGCAGCTTCTGGTGGCTGGAGGTAAGAAGGTGGCACTGGGATAACTCAAGCAAAGCACTGTTAAATGAAAGAAAACTAGGACAAGACTTACAAAGAGGATACAATAGGAAGAAAGAAAGGTCACTGGCAGTGGAGCACTAACCCCCTCACATTAGCCCTGTTACAAGTCCACTGGTTCATCTGTGTTGCAGGTACGTAGTGCTACCATCATCTTCTTGACTGGGGCTGCTACAGAGGAAGGTGTTTCACTTAAAACCAGACTTCTCTTCTTGTAGTTTATAGAGGGTGAGAGAAAGGATTTGTGCTACTGAGAGTAACTTGGGTGGCTTAAGAACCCAAACCAAAGAAGTAGTACAACAAGTCTGGTGTGGGACTGCAAGCAGGCTCATGAGCATTTAGCTCAGGAAAGTTATATTAAGACTGTGAAGGAAAGTGAAGTTTTAAAATCTAGTTTTAGCCACAGCTTCCTTCATGCTTTTGAAGTTTTTTAATTAAAAAGACAATTAAAGATGAACAATATCTGCTGTGGCTAGAGGCCATGTGAACACAATGACTCAATACACACTCTTGAAAACCCCTTGTAAAGGATCCGCAACGTTGTCTTTGTAGTAGTCTGTCACACAGCAGCAAGAACATAAAATTAGAATTATAAAATTATAAATGCAACACTTGAAGTGTTGTTGAAGAGTTATCTTCAGATTTGCTGCTTCTACTACTAAACAAGCTGCCAGAGATGAACTCAGCATTAGACTGAACTGGTATGTTCTGCTGTAACATGTTCCTTACTACCCATGCAGCAAACCTGAGATGTATTGACTTTCACCACAACAAAAGAGGAGGAAGGCTGCCAGTCCTGTGTTCCTTGACTCTTCCTGTTGTGAAATATGCTGGACAGGAAGAAGCTGGGCATACAAAACCATCCCATCTGTGTTTGGAATTGGATGAGTGGAGAGAATCGACCATGTCTTCTGAGGGAGTGCCCCTATACGGGAAGGGCTGTGGAAGGAGCCCCATTTCCTTCCACGGGCAGCAATGGGCTCATCTCTTTTACTTACGTGTGTTTTCATTTCGTTAGCTACCGTTGTTGACATCATAACACAACAGATGATAGTCACCAGGATGAAGTAAAGCGCATACATGAAGCGGGTGCTGGTTGATTGCTTTATCTTGGGGCAGCATTTGCAGCACAAAGAACAAGCGGCAGTACCGCAGCAGCAGGCCAGCTGGAAAGTAAGACAAAAACACCAGTCATTCCATCACTGCCTTTAGGTTTTTACTGCAAAAGTCAGACAGGGAGGCTGGGAGACTTCCTGTAAGACTCCAGAATTTCTTAAGTCCTCTCCTCGGAGCTGAGCGGTATTTAAAGTGCAAGAGGACCGTCTTCTCTATAAGAAGTCTAGGTTTAAGCACGTCTAGCTTTCCCGCACACCAAGGATGAGAGTGAAGAGGATGAGGAGGAACTGCTCCTGACTTCCCAGTCCTGCTCTTTCCCACCTGTGCAGCTCATGGTCCTGATGTGTTTCACCCAGCAGAATAGGCACTGCAACAGTAATGCTCCATTTCCTGCAGTGCACTCTTCACCCTCAACAGCCAAAAATCAAATCTACACAAGGGGACAGACTCCTAAACTGCTTGCTTGTAACACACAAACAAAACTATTTTGTTTCCAAGACAAGCTGGAGGTTCTGTTTCAAAACAGCCTATACAGATCCATTTCAACTACCCAGAACCATACTGTCCTTTTTAAGGTGCCCTTTCTAGTACACACACAGACAAAAACAAACAAACAAACAAACAACACCTCTTTTTTTTCCTGCAGAACTTTTTATGCTACTAAAGACTGAGCAAAATAAAGGAGGGAGGAAAAACTGTTTTAAGCCACTCTTAAGCATAGTTGTGCTAAAGCTTTATAAACAGACAATAGCTACAAAACCCCTGAACTCAAACCAACAAACAAAACACTATGTTAATCGTTCTAAGTATTTGGGGCAGTAGAAAAAGAATCTGGAAATACTTGACTTACTGCAAATGAAACAATAGATAGTTGAGCTTGAAGGATCCAAAATACAACTGTGTCATCTTATACTGAAGAAACCCAGAGAAGAAATGCAACTTTGCAGTTATGTAGACACACTTTGCAAAGGTGAAAGTGGTGATTCCACATGCAAGATAGTAAGGAAAAAAAAAGAACCCCAGAGGCACAAGGAAAATAACACTAAATCACACTTTAGCTTATAATATCTCAAATTTTAAAACGTTATTAGAGACAGAATTCCTTGTACACTTTCATTCTTTTCTACCTGCAACAGAGAGTCCACTAGGATAAAAAACAATAAGCACAGCAAAATGCCTTACTCTACAGGTAAGCAGGAACTGAATAAATCCTGAAAGGGATATAGCTTGATGCTCATTATTTCCTTGCTGTCAACAGTATCAACTTTTAAAGAAGATGGATTCACCTTTCTGCCTTCTGCTTTTAGAAAAATCATAGATAAAATAGAAATATAAGCCTTATTTTTACACATAAGGCAGCACTGTCTTTGGCCATGCACCTCCTTGCAATAGGCAGCAGCTTCATGTGGCTCCTGTGCTCCATCCTGCAGCTGTGACCACTGCAGGAACTTCTGGACATCAGCCAAGTGGCCAGGAGTGGAGAATCTCTCTTCCAGGTTTCACTGCTGCTGACCCATAGCAACCTCACCCCTCAGCACTGCCATTTTTGAGGGGCTCTCTGTGGCTAGTGTGTAGCACAGGGGCAGTGTGCTGCCAGTGCCAGGGTCCTGAGCACTCCAAGGCCACATTTCCCCAGTGTTCCCTCAGCCCTTGGAGGGCCTGCGGGGATGTTCAGAGGGCTCCTCTGCTTTCTAGCAAGCAGCTGTTTAAGATGGATGGCTTTTCCAAGCCCTTGCCGAGGGATTCAAAATGCACGAGTGCCACATTTGCGTGTTTCAGGCAAACTTCACCGGCTTGCGTGTGCCTTCAGGAGACAAACTACCACACACTGTTTTCCTGCCAGGATGCTTCCCTCTCCAACATCAAATACTGCCTGACCCCGAAAATGGGGGTTTCACATGTGTGTTTGCAGACATGCATATCTGATGTAACTCCTCAGAGTCTGAGAACCAGACTGGTAGATCAAGGACACCCAAATAATTTCAAAGAAGTGTCTTGAAAAGACTTGCAGCTTATCATTTCCCTGCCGTGACTCTTCTCTGCAACACCCAAGCTCAGGCTTCCTGCCTTCAGCCCTGAAAGAAAGATGGTAGTGGATGAGCCCTTGCCTTGCTCGACAACAGCTCTTCAGTTTGCAGAAGACATAAAACAGGGACCATCTAACTTGGCTCCCACACTGCCCTTCTCCCAGTTCACTCCTGGATCTTATGCCAGAGGAGACGGGGGCCTCCAAGCACGCAGCTGCTAAAACTGCTGCTGCTGCAAAACAGAAACCCTCCCTAAAACACACAGAGCTCCAACTGTGGGGAATGAGCAGAACGGGCTCCTGTTGGCACCAAAGCTGGAAATCAAAAATACTATGTACATAAGCACATCGTGCAAGTATACTTTCAAAACAGAAAGAAATGGTGGCTGAATAGCAGTTTTATTTTTTTATATCTAGTGAAATTAAGTTAACTTCTACAGCATCGATCCAAGTCCAAGAAATAAGGAAGCTATGGCAAGTTAATGATTCAGCCAACAAATGGAATAATAACAGCTCAAAATAAAAACATGCCAGAAAAGTATAATCTATCCACTTCAGAATTACAGGGGAAAAAAAAAAAAAAAAAAAATTAAAGATTAAGACTAGAGGTCCTTTCAAGCTGTATCAGCCAGATCCAAAGCATCCATGATGAGCTGCAACTGCTGGCCACGCTAATCATAACATTAAAAACATAGCACACAAGTATAAAGGTATGCAGCTTTGGCATTTGTAAGGGGAACATTTTCTTAAGCCAGGTGCTAGAGAGCTCTGCCAGTGAAACCTCCTCTGTGTCCAGCAATGTGTCTGCTATTCCAGTCTGGGGTCCCTGGAGCTGCTATTTAAAGCAGCAAATACTTAAATAGAATATATAGCTCATTTATACAATGTTCTGTATTACTTAGAGTGACTTTAATGATGGTTTCTAATACTGAGCATGTACTCTATAAATTTTCACTATTTGTGGAAAATACCAGTGCCACCATCTTCTTTAAGATGCACTCCTCCAAGCACTCTGAATAGCCATGGAAACCACAGAAAGTTGGTTAGGTTATTCAGACACACTCCCAAATCTGGTGGTTTAGGGTTTCTTGGTTGATTTTTTAAAATTATTATTTTTTAAACTCTGGTTATGACTCACTACATTCCAGAGCAGGCCACGATGAAATAGGTGTTATCCAAAAATAAATTAAAACAGTCTCTGTCCCAAAGAGTAGGATGCTCACCACAGCCTCCTGAACCAAGATATTTCAAAGATGTTATCTCTGGGTGACAGACTTCAAAGGTCACACATATAACAAGTTCTCTGTTAGAAGGCTGTGGACAACGTGCAGCTGAACTACACAGTCCCTCTGATGCCCTGTGCTTTACCATGGCCCATCTCACCTCTGCCTTTTGACCGCATAGAAGGGTCAGGGGCTCAGTACCCACCGGTGCAGAAGTAGAAGCCAGTAACAAATTTTTCCCATATTAAGAAAATGAGCTGTGAAAAAAAGCAAGTACTGTCATAAATCCTTTACAAATTTAGCTTATCGTTAAACAAAAGCCCCCCCCCAAAGGACAAGTTCTGCAGAAGGAAGGTGCTGTGTGATTTTCAGGACAGAGATAACCCTGACAACCCATGGTCTGCAACCGCTGCCAGCAGGCAGGCATTGAAAATCCTCGTCAGTACCTACAGAGCTCCTTCGAAGTCCTGTGATCCTTCCAAGCCCCAGGTCCCCAAGAGCCCAGCCCAACAGCATGTGAATGCCAGGCTGCCCTGCGTCACTCTGCAGCAGGTTCTGGCTTCCAATCTCTCACCCAAAGGCTCCTACAAGGCTTCCTCTCTAGCTTTACATCTCCTCACTGGGTGAACATCGCAGCCTGGCAATAATCACAAGCACTATGCAAATATTTATGCTTTCCACAAATACATCTAATCAGCTGGCCCCCCCGTGCTAGCCCAACACGACGCCAGGCCTCCATAACACAGACTGGTCCCATGTGCATCGACCCTTCTCTGAGTAGATGTTTCAGTGGTGTTTTCCCACCACTTTTTTCATTCCATCTGAGTGCGGGACGTTCCTGCCAAAGCACAGGAACAATAATTTTTACATCCACACAGTGAGGAGCAGAAGCAAGCAGACTGTATAACACACCCAACTACAGGCAGGCCTGGACACATCTGCACACTCCCATCTTTTGCCAGCCTGGGGAGTACCTTGGGTTAACAAAACAGGGTAAAAGCAGGCCCAACAACGTCCGCACAAGCTATTGGCTCCTTACAACGAATCCTCCACCAACATACATTTCACATCAGCCACACACGCAGGTTGTGATTTTTGCAAGCTGTGATCCAATCTGATGAATCAGTGGAATGAGGTATGACGGTAATGCTGAGCACACATGTAACTGTTTACACACAAGACTGAGAAGTCAACTGAATGTGTCCTGCTTACTGCTCTTGTAAAGACAGTGACTTTTATAGAAGGTATTTTCCACAGATGTTTCCAAAAAAATCTCAAAGGTCTTAGAAAATATTTTGCGTAGCCATTAAAACAAAGTGAGGAGTTTCAGAATAACTGCCCAAAACAACCTAAGGTATTTTTAAATTATACAAACCACAGGGAAGTATCAAGCTTAAAAAAAAAAAAAGAAAAAGGCACTCTTCCTTTTGGGAGACTTCCACAGAAATAGTAAAAATAAAAGGGAAGAGGAGCATATTGAAAAAAAAAAAAGGCACACACTTAAATGAAACAAAGACTTTACAGTGTTTCATCTCTTCCTTCCTGACTGGCCAGCCAGAGACCACATGCCTTCCGGCCTGTCCGCAGAGCACAGGAATGTGCCTTGCTCAGACTTCTTTTCATGGGGGCCTACAGCAGCTTAGTTTTTCATGCACTGCTTGATTACCTGACTACCAGCATTATCTGGGCCATAAGATCTGCAGATAATGAGGTCACTGAGCTGTTAACAGCAGCATCTATCAAAAGTACTCAGACATCTACCCTCTCGGCTACATGTAGCACCCAGGCAAGCTGG